TGTAGTAAAGATTACGTATCTGTGGATTTGATTTAAAGACATTTTAGAAGAGTACATAATATACAAATCGAAGACAAGTTCGAGTGTTGTCTAAAGGCGTGTTAACACTGAGGCCTACGATGTATGGCTGGGCAGCTTGTAGCGGCGACAAGCTCGTGTCGGTATTGCCGCCGCGCGCTGGGCGCCAGTTTGTACGAGTCCCCTTCGTGCTTATCACACATTTACATATGCTTCACTCGCTCACTGCCATGTACGAGCATCGAAAATGTTTCATGAATAAATTTGTAATCCAATTTAGTCGTTAACTTTTGACTTGACAAACACGTCGACGTGGTTTCGTTCAGAATACTCGTAAAAACAAACATACTAAGCCATCGAAAACCAACAAAGAGAATCCGATCAAAAATCTTCGGTTCGCTTAAAACGATTAATCATAAAAAGAACTCGGGTCGCAGCCCTTTTTCGAGTTTCCTCGTTACGGACTAAGACGAGAATCATTAGGAATTAAATTTCCCCTTTCATTAGTCCCTCAACCCTCGTATAATTCCGGACGCGGAGCAATAACAATATAAATCCCCCGTCGCGCCGAGCGGGGGATTACGGCTTGTCTCGACCCTAATTTAGGGCTGCCCCCGCCCCGGATTAACGAAGTGGCGGAATCCGCTAGGGTTGTCGCTACGCATAAACTTGTTACGTGTTTAATGTTTTATTGACGGGTGGCTAGGGAGCTCTCATTTAAATAACCACGCGGCTGCGGCCCCACTCGCACGAGCTCCCTCCACTCCACTCGTTTTGATCACTAGTAATGTGAATTGTCCAGAGTTCCATTACATATTTTATAACAATTATAACATTTGAAAAAAAATCTCATGACGTACCACATTTCAAATAAATTAGGCTTCACTTTAAAATAGAATTTTTATCCCGGTATCTTGTTTAACATTATACATATAATATTTTATGCACAAGAATATGATAAGTTAGTGAACAAAGCGCGTAACACTGGCGCCTAAAAGTTTTATCATCATAAAATGTGTCGTTGTTTTTCTGTATTTCAAATTAATTTTTACTGCTTAAATGACGCTATCAAATCGAATCGTTCGTTAAAGCGTAACGAATTGTTTATAACCAGTATTATGAAATAGCCGGAGTGTCTTCATACATATTAAAGATAGAGTTGTAGAGTTGGAGAGGCGCCTTTGTATTGCTTTGTACTTGACTTAAACATATGAACCACAATTAAGAGGGTTACCTTTGTCACTACAAATGTTTGACAATTTATTTTGTTACCTTATTGTAGCAAATTACAGTTATTGTAAGTATAAATGGCGGGTGTGGTCCTTTTTTTCACATCAAGAATGTACCTACATATTTGGATAAAATTGCATAATCATGTAAAGGCACCTAAATTTATTTTTTTGATGTATATTTTATAACGAGTGGTCTTTTAGGATGGCGACGAAACTCGATTCCAGGTAATTTATTTAAGTAATTTTACAAAACGAAGCTACGTACACCGTATTAAAATTTGCCTCGAAACCGCAAAGTAGACGCAAACACAAAATTAAAGTCGTCGACACTTAAGGGCTTCGTAGTTTCGAGGGTGGTTTCCGTGAAATTTCTCTCGGAATGTCGAAATGGCGGATGAATTTCGCAAGTCGACTCAATTATCGTTTTAATTAAGGCGCCGTGCCACGTGACATTTGTTTGCGTGCGTGAAAGCGATCGTTCTCCCCGCGTTCCCCTCACGCCTGCTACTGTTAATTGTGCTAATTACTCCTGTAATAGAGCAAGGGAGCGAGGAGAGATTGCTTATCGATGACTTCCCCGGAATTTATTTTGTATGATACAGCCCAATTCTAGCGCTAATTTAATATAATTTGTAGGCGCTACTTAACAGTGAACATGTCCGATATGCCGAAGTAGTGTTTTGAATGGCGTTAAATGTTAATCGCGATGGAACCCTTAGTAAACGTCGACAGTTCGAGACACACCCGCGGTTCATTTACAGGGTAACTACGTACAGGGTACAGTAATACACATCAAATATTGAGCAAGTTTCCAAGTATATTTGTCAATAGCACAAAGTACGTCGGAGTTCTACAAGGAGTGCTCGTAGCGCCAGAGACAGAGTGGCATAATAGGCATGCGGCCGATGCCAGATTGAGAGCGCGAGGCGGGTGCGGCCGCTGGGCACGTCATCCCGACAACAAGTACCAGGCAATTTGGTTATTTGGGGTCGACCATAAAGCGATAGCGAGCGCAGTAAACGCAATCCTCCACTCGCGACTATAAACTTTACGAGTCACGTAAAAACGCGCTCGAAACGCCGACTCGCTACCATAAATTTATGCTAATGTATTCTTTATAGGACTTTAATGTGTATTCAGAAATTCCACCATTATTTATGTATACGAATGAACCGGTAAAGTTAATTTTAAAGTCGCACAGCGCCCCGCGGTTTATGCGCTAGCTGACGATTAATTTTCTTGCAACTTTTTTGTTACCGACGAGCGCGGATTCTCGTTTCGAAGCGATTATCGTTTACGTTTTTACGGAGGGCTCAGTAGCGACTGGTTTAATAACGCGTTCATACTTATGAATGAGCCGATACATTGTAGGGCCGTTTAATGGTAACGTGGAACGCCATAATATAGTATGTCATAAATTTGACATCGTAATGGAACTTAAAATGCGCTCAATAAAACTTTTCGACGACAGTATCATAAAACGAATCGTATAAAATTGGTAGTCTCGATAAAAACTGAAGACGTCGCGTGTAAATCACGTAACTTTCAAAACTATTATGCCTGAAATATAGTCCGAACTCAATCCGTACATTTCCGAGCGTCGGGCGGTTTATTTATCTATTTCCCCCGCTTCCGCCCCAGAGCGTCCGGTTAACCGCCCCCCTTCCGGTTAACCGGGCGGTGGCGGCGAGGCGCGCTCCTAAACGGCTCGTCGCGTGACCGCAGACAATAAGCCCGGGCGGCGTTAACAGCGCGCCTGTGTGTTGCCACTTTATATGTTACGTCACAGCACTAGTGAACCTTACACCCCTGACGCCCTCTCCTGACTCTGCCCCTTGGCGCGACACATTGTACGACGCGACTTCGCACGGTAGCCGATAAGTCGTGTTGTCGGAGCATGTAGTGTCACTAGTAGTTGTTAAGCGTTATAGTTCTTTCGCTCCTGACTGTTCTGCCTTCCAAACTCAATTGCCTTTTTCTTGAGGACTGGCGTAATAGGATAAAGTAAAGATTAGCTCTGTTCGTAATTTGCAGGGTTGTAGGGCCTAACATTTTATTGTGTTTTGTTTGAGTAAGGAGATAACGAAACGAATCGTATTTAATCCTCTTTGTTGCACGTTCCCCCCTAAATATACGTAGTAATAAGCTTCATGCCAAACCTGTTTCAAAACATAATTGAAGTATACATATATTTATATAATCTTATAAAAGTAATAATATACGCATATACACATTTATCTCATTTTATTCCATCGAGGTACGTTCCCACATCCAACTATTCGTCAGCCAACCACAAATTCAATCTATTAAATTAACGATTAACCACAAACGGCCTACCCTCGAGTGAATGACTCGTATGGGTAACATAAAATCCGTCCAATCGAATCCGACACGTCACATTACGGCATCGTGGGTCTCTCGAAATAGCCTCACTTGAAATTCGATGTCGAGCTCTTTGGAGATGTGATCGTAAAATTAGGGACTGAAGTACATGCTCGACCCCTCAGGGGTCTCACTCAACTCTTCACCTGTGTACTACATAGTAAACGTAGGTTAATAATCACGCATAGAATTTACTTACACACGGCAGCATTTTTGTAAACTTTTATAGTTGTTCCGCGCGACTTGTGCCAATAATAAAAGTTTATCGGTTACTTGTTGCTTATCAAATATCCAATAACGTCGACCGCAATAACCCATGTAGACTTGTTTATCTAATACGATGAAGGTTTGTCCCAATGATATTCTGTAATTTCGTAATCATGAGAAGCCGAAATCCTACAACAGAATTTTTTTTTTTTTTTATTAATTAAAGAAAACAATTGAGAGGTGTCACGTAGTCGATAAAGGAGAAATAGATGTAGATTTACAGCGTTATCGTCAGTGAGCGCCGGGAGGGCAGTAAGTCACAGCGGGCGGCGACAGGCTGGCGGCGCGCCGCGTGCCGAGCAAATTAACAGCCGCTTGCCACTCTCCTCTAACTTAGTGCCTCGTAAAATTAGACCCCGTTAGATCCCTCCAGGCAACGTCGAGCCGAGCTGTTAGACTCCCTGAGGACATCGGATTAAGTTCGAACGGACTAACAGAACATTGAACACCACTTACGAAACCACAAATTATTATAGTAGTGGCAAATTACAATGAATACTGATTATACAATTTCTTTTCTGCATTTGTTATTTAAATCTAGTAACAAATTAAATCGTTTATATTTTATTTTTAAACTCAAAAACCATTTGATGCTTATGCCATGTGAGCACTTAAAATAGCATCAGATCTGTCTAATCTATACATTATTAACTGCGAGCATCACATAACAAATACACAATACCGTGGGCAATACAGGGAACGTTGTGTCAACATAGAGTCGAATCAGTTATGCGCGGGTTGGTCGTTCGTCACGTGCCTATATGATTATTTCATTAGTTCGTATTTGCGCGCTCATCCAAATGTTGCGGTGTCCCCACCCGCCATCCACCCCGCGGAGGGGGCGATGACCACTCCCGGACCTAATCATGCGGTCAGTTTGTTCTGCCTCAGCGTGTTTTGATATTGATATTGACTGTAGCGTTCGCCTCGCTGCGCGCCGATTTATTTGCGAACAATGATCGATTGATTGCCATTGGTACGTAAGCTCCTCGTAAACGTTTTGATTATGTTTACCTTCTCGTATTTGTTAAACTACAGACCAACACGGCTGATATTAAACGTTCTACCAGTTTATTTTACAGAGTATTTCTTTTGTTGCAGAGAAATTCTATATCACCAGGTGAACGAGAAAAATATAGGACGCGGAGTCCAGCAGAACCTGAACACAAGAAATTAAAGAAAGAAGAGAAAGACATGGGTCATGTGAGTATAGATTGTACTTCACTCCTAAATGTTTGTCAGATATTAAAATCTCGGCATTTAGTATGAAGAACGAGACTTCGCTGCATTTGCACCAAAAAACGATAACCATGAGAGATCGTGTCGCATATATCTAATAATAAACATACTTTCCAGGAGTTAGTAGTAGATGACGCGAGTGAGGAGCCCACATCGCCGCACAATGGCGCTCCTTCCCCTCGAGAGAACGGCCTCGACAAGCTCCAACCTAAAAAGGAACATCCCCCACACAGCCCTAGGTAACATTTATACAATATCATTACACTAAACAAGCGACTAAATACAGGATCATTACTCACTTACTTTCAATTACTATACCAACCTTGTAATCAATACTCCGCCAGCTTGTTTCCTCAATAATTATATGTAACTTGTACATTATTAGTGAAACGAAAAGCCGCACACCCTGTAGCGTTTTCTATCGAATGCGCTTACCGGTCGCGTGTTAATTCCTGCTAATCGCTTTATCCGTTTAACTGAAGCCCTAGTAAGAAAACTAGTTGCTACCCATGTAAGGTCATCGAACGAGCCAAGACAACTTGTTCGACTCAAAAGTTAAGCCGCCTCCGCACTGAATCAATTACGAATACACGCCGAGGTTCGCTACTACTCCCATTAACAGTAGGTAATAAGATTAGACGCCTTGATGGATAGCGTTATCTGTACGAAAGTTGTACGGAGATTGACTTATTAAATACCTAGACAATTCTATATTAATGTAACCACTTGTGAGAATACGTTTGTGACACTGTATTTAATTCTAACATTGAGGATATTATTGTAGGTAGCATTAGGTCATTTGATAACATTTTTATTATCGGTCTTAAGTACTGACTACAAATTAATAATCAAACAGGGTCGTTGAGGATGTATTTGAATTTCGAAAGGTGACGTGGCTCTTTTACGTAATAAAAAGTGTTGTTGATGTACTTTTAGAATTATTCAAGAAATGATTATAATACGAGGGCGTCATACAAGGTTTTTTAAATTAATATTCAAGTATAATGTAGTTAAGAAATTTAAAGTGTTAATTTTTTGCAATTTGAGAACTAAAGCTTGATTAAGTTGTTGAAGACGGTAATTTTATCAATTACTTTTTCAATTTGAAACATATTTTTTTTATAAGAACGTAAGAGGAAAAAGCGGTTATTGGTTAAACCGCGAAGCTCTACAGTAGTTGTTAATTTACTATCGAGTTGTGTGCCTTTTTTCTGTATCGTTTCTAAAAATAAATAAATGCCTGTGGTCCTTTTGACTGACTAAAAAATTGTGAAATCAGATCGGGCACGTCAAGCAACGCATCAACGCCTTCAGCGAAAAAGCTTGACGAGAAACCTAGTACACCAATATCGAAGCCGGTGACGCCTACATCGGGTGCGAGCGGGGCGGGTTCAGCGGGGGCGCCATTGAAGGCTGCCGTCAAGCCACCGGCACTGCAGTACCCGTACCTTGGCAACGGGGCGCATGACGCGTATGGCCTTGCCGGGTACTCGGCGCGGGCCGCCCTGGCGTACGAACCTCTGCGGCCGCCCATCGGACCCGCAGCACTAGCACCGATACCGAGTGGCAAGCCGTAAGTTTCATCGTAGTTAGAATGTGTGGCGCACACAGACAGACTGCATGCCTAGTTCCTGCTGGCCGCAATAAAACTCATCATAACTACAGTAAGGTTAATTGGATGGTGAGAATCATTCGAGCAGATAACGCATAGTGTAGTATAAAGTCGATTTTGTATTGTATGAACAGTAATCATAGACCTTAATTAAACGACCTTTTCATACATCACATAATCGGTGCTGCACTGCGCTGAACTAATCAGCATCGTCTGCGTTGTCAACAATCACTTAGCCTTAACTTGCTGGCTAGCAGTCAATGTGCTTAATTCAATTATAAATAAAGTCTATCTGTGTACATCACGGAATAATAAAAAACAAGGGTGAATGTCCCCTATGCTTAGTTTGTAGGGGACCGGTTTTGCCAAGCTCGTACGGAAACTGTGTTATTCCAATACTTAAAAAACCAATAACGCGATTAGCAATATTAAACGCTCTCTAGATATAGTGATGCAGAAAGTAGTTCATTGTCATAAAAATAATATTTATCGCAAAACTCTTTTTTTATTCTTCCGTGGTTGAATTCTGTTAAAAAACTGTTTAATAATTAAAGTTAGTTAGTAGTTAGGGTTATATGGTCTGAATTTGTACTAAACATAAAAAACACTGGCATTATTTTAAACTTACTGTGTCAAATGTAGATTGTTATGAACGAATCACTTCTATTGCAGGGCGTACTCTTTCCACGTATCGGCGGAAGGTCAAATGCAACCGGTGCCCTTTCCGCCTGACGCGCTGATGGGTCCTGGGATTCCCCGTCACGCGCGTCAAGTCTCCGCATTGGCCCACGGCGAAGTCGTCTGTGCGGTCACTGTCTCATCCCCCACTAAGTATGTGTACACCGGAGGCAAGGGCTGTGTCAAGGTGTGGGACATCAGTCAACCTAGCAAAGCCCCCGTCAGTCAATTGGATTGTTTGGTGAGTGGGTAACTGTCGGCGATTCATTTTTGGCATTTTTTCTGAACAAAAAGTCTAAAATATTTTACAACATTCAATGTTTGTATTCTTACATTATCATTTTTTAAAACAACAGTAATTTGAACTAATTTGATTAAAATATAAGTGTTATAATATTAGGTAATGAGAAGTCGATTACCATAAAACATTTTTCGACTAATTAAAAAACACCATTGGCTACAGGTCCGTGTGGTGACGGATTAAGAATACAGAGTGTCACCACCCCTATTTATCCCGTGGGTGTCGTAAGAGCCGACTATGGGAGAAAACTATGCAGAACAAAAGCACTGCGGTAGAAGGAAAACTTGCCACAAACCCTATACCAACCCGTCTGGCTATGTCTGGTTATGACCAGCAGTGGACTATTAAAGGCTGTTGACGATGTTGATGATGATTGTCTACACTTACAAAACTGTTTCTTAAAAAAAATACATAAATACTTATATTTGTGTAAACACTATTTTTATATTCCTCAAGTCTTTTGAAATAGATGTATAAAAAAAGAACGTACCGTTGTACTGCTTTTTGAATTTATGTAATTCTGTAATTAATTATAAATATTTCACGTAGATATAATTAATTAGTGACATAAATATAGACACAGTAATTAAAAATTTCGCAATTAATTTAATAAGAACAGTTAACATTGGTGCAAAGTGAACTAAAAACATAGTTTATGTTACAAAATGCACTTCCATTTAGTTTTACGACTTCAAAAAATTATGATGGATACTGATGGATATTTTAATATTATGTTACAGCAAAGAGACAACTACATAAGATCAGTAAAGCTATTGCCGGACGGTCGTACCTTGATCGTAGGCGGTGAAGCGTCAAACCTGTCAATATGGGACCTGGCGTCACCCACACCAAGAATCAAAGCTGAACTCACGTCTTCCGCACCCGCCTGCTATGCCCTCGCTATTAGTCCTGACTCTAAGGTATGTTTTCATCTTTGGATCCTCAAATGACCTCGCTGCAATAGATTTACCACACGAGTGTAGTGTTCTCCAAAAGGCTTACACCAAAATTAATACTATATGTTAAGAGTTAGAACCTATATTAATAAAACTATCGGATAGTACAAACCATAGAGCGACACAGGCCACAGGGTTCGGCAGACTGGAGTTACCGTTCCGTGTTGCTCTGAGGTAAAAACACACTTTCTCACTAATCACTTTAAAATCCATTGTCATTATTTAAAATGTTTATAAATATTACGTACTCTGACAGCTGTAAGTAATCTTCTGGTACAAGATTCAGTTTTTTTTTATTATCAAGCATTACACGTAGAAAGGGAAAAATAAAACAAGTTTTAAACTCACAGTATATTTTCGCGCGGGAATGGACTTGCAGTTCCGATAACGTCACTCGTGTCTGTCACTTTGTTTTGCATAGTTAGTTGCGACTTTTAAGATTTTTTATATGGCACTCTAAACTATTCAAAATGGATTGTCAAAAACAAGTTAATATCTAACTACTGCCGGGTTCAAGTTTTATCAGTACCTACTTTTGGAAAGAATAAAATACTTCAACTACGAATGCGTAAAGAACATCGAACGGAACAACGTGAAAATCGGACGTCATTTGTCAGATTTTTCTTCTTTATCTTTTCTCTCAAACACAAAATTAACGAACTTTTTTACATTCCAGGTTTGCTTTAGTTGTTGTTCAGACGGCAACATTGCAGTATGGGACCTACACAACCAGACGCTAGTGCGACAGTTCCAAGGTCACACGGACGGTGCGTCTTGTATCGATATCTCCGCTGACGGGACCAAACTGTGGACCGGTGGTCTTGACAATACTGTGAGGTATGGATAGTTCAACAGTGGAACTTTAAAGGCACCCGTAATCCGTAAAGAATTTACTAATGTGAAGTAAGGAGTGATAATGTCATGGGATTTTTTTGTCTTAATAGTATATCCATGACAGTGACTTCCAGCACTTTCGTCATTGTAATGGCCTCCCTAAGAAATCATTTGTCATATTTGTCAACATTGACTGATATAGCTTGATAGATTTAATTTATTTAATTGCCTGTATTTATATCTATAAATCTCTTACCGAAAATTATTTGACGGTGTCTTTGGAATTTACACAACATATGATCTTAAGCCATAGTATAAACGCATAATAATTGTTAAACTTTATTCCAATATTTCTTCTACGAGTGAGAAACTAGTTCTACCTCAGAAATAGTTAACACCAGTATCAATAATCTATTGTGTGAAGAAATATAAAAGAAGCTATTGTATATTTATTTAAAAATAGATCCGGGTGACAGATAATGCTCTAGAATTACTTTACTTACTTACTTGTGAAGTGTTTTCCGACTTATGGAGATAATATGAAGTGTAAACTTCACTGTTATTGACGAACACGATTAATGCCATTTTCAACAAGCTCCTAGCTTATCGCTAAAAAATATATATTATATTAAAATTATTATATATTTTTATAATATACACATATACGAGTATATGAATATACTCGTATATGTGTATGTGTGTGTATGTACGTATATATGTGTATGTGTGTATACACCAAAAGGTTAAAATTGACGGTATTTAATAAAACCTCTATCATTTATTACCCTCCCATAAATGCACCTTCCTCATTCTTTCTCAGCAACGCCCAATCGGTGGACTGGTACAGAATGCCTTAGGCTATAAGTCCGCCGAGGCATGTATTTGTGCAAAAAGTTATAAAATAAAATAAATAAATAAAATAATAAATTTTATCTAGACATTTTTATGACATCTGTACTACCAATTTAATCCCAAAACGTGTTAAGTATCTATCTACGCAGTGGAGTTGCTATACAATGTACTGTGATTACTTCTATCTGACTGTGCGAAACCCGTGCTTTATTTGAGTATTATAGGATTATTTGTCACTAAGACGGTCTTCAGAAACTGTTCTGAGTCCAAGGCTTTAACGGAATTCAGAGTTTATTACTCTATATGATCAGTTTGTATACTATAGACTAAGGACTCCTATTGGGCCTATAATTAATTGAACTTTCTATCTTGAAACATATGAGATTAGGTAGGTTAGATAACATTATCTCTACATAGTATAAAATAAAGTCGTATTTTTGTGTTGCTTAGTTTTAAAGATCTAAGCTGTACGCTTAGATCTTTAAAATTAAGCAACGGATTTTAATGCGGTTTTCACCAATAGAGAGAGTGATTCAAGAGGAAGGTTTATTTATATAATACATGGATAGTATAGTATAGAAAATACGAAAATTTCTAAGATTAATCGCAAAACATGTTTTTGTACGCTAACATTACAAACGCTGGCTAAAACTTAACAGCATATTATTAAAATAAATATTTTATAAGATCAGAGGTATAAAATGCGGGGCGCAATGACCGTCGACCCGTACGTACGTCCCGGGTGGCAGCGACTGGCAGGATCAGAGCGGGCGTATAAATATTGCATTTAAAGATGTCCTTCAGTAAAGTTATAGCCCTTTTATTACTCCACACTGACACCACATAAGTAGTATCTAGGGCCGGATCGCTAGTTCTATATAAAAACTAAACCAAGTATCAAGCCACTAAATGCCACAAACTATAAAATAACAACAGGTAATATTAGGGATATTTTGTTTGTTTTTTTTTAATTTAACAAATAAATTTCTTTGCAGATCTTGGGACTTGAGAGAAGGCAGACAATTGCAACAACACGACTTTAGTTCCCAAATCTTCTCATTAGGTTATTGTCCGACAGGTAAGTGTGTCAAACCACTAATAATGTATTCATTAATCTATTTAAGCTGGTTTATGAAGAGGAAACGAGAGCAATAAACGAGTGTTTTTTGTCTTGGCCTGTATTCATTCTTGTTTTTCACTCACTGTAACTATATTATTAGTTTTCACTGTAACTATATTATTATAAATACAGTAAATTTGGAACATATAAAACGATAGAAATGTTTAAACCGGATTGTCTCTCAAAATGAATCTCGAATCAAATATGTACCTTAATATAAGGACATCCGAATTCCATATACCGTTTATTTAAGGCAGTCTTAGTATTGATTCTGAATTAACATGATATTACTAACCTTTACTTTTAAACTAGTATTTAAATACAACTTGAGAATCTGATATTTTTATATTATAAGTAAAGCTTATTCTTGTGAAAATAATAGAATTGGGTGGTTATTTTAACATCCCTAATTTAAAAATGTAATAAACATGATTACTGCTTGCATTATCAAATATGTGTTGATAACCCGTCATAATATTGTTTTATTTCTTTATTAAATGATTGCTTTACTCTCTTAATTTCTGTGTAAATATATGACAATATTATAGCTTGATATTTTACAATTTAATCATTAATTACTTGAGATTTAATCGTTTCATAATAATTGCAGGCGAGTGGTTAGCCGTCGGTATGGAGAATAGTAATGTGGAGGTGTTACACGCTGTGAAGCCGGACAAGTACCAGCTACACTTGCACGAGTCGTGTGTTCTGTCGCTGCGGTTCGCGTCGTGCGGGAAGTGGTTCGTCTCTACCGGGAAAGACAACCTGCTCAACGCGTGGCGTACTCCTTACGGGGCTAGTATATTCCAGGTGAGAATATTTGTTGACAATCATATTTATCGTGAAATGTAGCAATAAATGACTATCAGTAATTAGCTTAACTACTAAGTTGCAGATGTTCATGAGCGGTGGTAGTCATTTGACATCAAGTAACCCGTCTGCCCCCTTAAACCATAAAAATATTGGTATTAGTAGGGTATTTGAGATGGAAATTAGTGCTACTTTTAAATTATAATCATATGATAAAATTAATGGTTTTTGAATGGAATTGGATGAATTTTCTTTTTATCAAAGACGCGAGTCTGGCGCTAGCCTAATCATAACCATAAGTTGCAGTGGTGATTTTGTAAATTAGTCACATGTGTGATTATACTCGTATGGCTGACAGATAGACGGTCACAGGTTTTTAAATCATATAATTTATCACAGGTGATTGTGATTTTATTCCATCCCTAGTAGGTACTATTACTCATGGATTAAGAGTATTTTAACAGCTAAAATTGAATGTTAAGACGTCTTCTAGTTTTGTTTATATTTCATTGTTTGTTTTATATTTCATTTTTGAACATATGATTTGTTCATTCAAAAATATCATTATCAACAGCCTCCACTACTGCCTCTTTTATAAAAAATTATCAACCTCGTAGCGTTATTATAATATATCGGAATTTTTTAAACCTCTAAGAAATTTTATTATGATAAAATATTGATTGCTTAAGTTAGGGTTTCTTGACACCTAAACTAAAATTAGTAATCAACTTTTATGTAATCAAACTGAAGCCAAGCACGTGAAAGTAGTAGAAAATAAGCTTAGTTAATGCAGTAATATATGTGTACGAATGTATTTATTTTTTATTTGTAGAATTTGTATGATCGTTTTCTAGGTAGTCATGAGCAATGTAATTCATAAGTCATAACACGGCAGTAATAGGCTTTTTGACAACATTTAAAATATTTTTTAATTTAATGTCATCCTATTAGATAATAGGATAGAAAAGCATAATTTACTTTATTTCACGCTAATTGGTGTTATTTATTTTTTAATTGTATCTCGGACGGAAACGTCCTAGGATTGGACACGTCCTAGGATTGGACACAAGTCTGTGACGACACCGCAATAGTCACAAGTGTCAAAAGTGAACCATATATAAAAAAATATGAAGTGAACAAAACAAATAATCTCAATTTGTGGATTCCTTCCACTGATTTTAAGTACTTATTGTTATGTTTTTTAGTGTTTGAGTTATTTCTAAAAGTATTTTCCAACAGATTCTGAAAGGAGTGGTATAAATATCGCTAATTGCTAATTGTAACGACATTTTTCGTCTTTTGGGGTCCGTGGGCACAGCAAAAAAAACAGTTTGTGTGGATTAGTTTCAGACATATTTTTACACTACGCATCATTTATACGCCATTTTATCTAATATCCTAATATCTAATATATCTTAACAAAAATAATGAAACTCACTTTATAAGAACGTCAACACTGTTTTGTTTATGTCATGTTAATTGCGTTATGTCATGATCTTGGGGCCTTGAACAAAGCTAGCTCGATCACATGAACAACCAAGTATTTAAACAATATTCCGTTTGTCCACAGTCAAAAGAATCATCATCGGTGCTCAGCTGTGACATTTCGTCGGATGACAAGTACATAGTGACGGGATCCGGCGACAAGAAGGCCACAGTATATGAAGTGATCTACTAGTGACACGAACTAACAAACAGTGCAACAAACGAACAAAACAGATCAACAAACGTGTTTGTGGACGTTTAGTGAGTGACGGACGTTTCGGGAACGCGCACGTCGAGTGGCAAGTGGTGATAACATAGCTTTAGTGTATGTATAGAATATATCGGGAAGCCTGTATGTACTTATGCGACTTGTTTATATAGATTAGTGTGCGCGATTTATGTTTATTTGTTGAGCGCCCGTAGTGTATGTTGGCAGCAGATCTCAAAATGATGATTTCGTTTCAATATTGTTGTAAAATGCTCGTATTAAAGAAAAGATATGCGCAACCCGTATATGTATTACTTTTATTATACCATCAATCCAAATCCCTAATAACAACCCTCATGTGAAGTAAAGAAAACACATTTACCTACCTAGTAGAACACACTTGAACGCAAAAATGCTGAAATAGTTTTATGTGTTGGAAAGGATGTGATGTTGAGAATATCAGAAGGTAATAGATTAGATGACTGGCAAGTAATTCAGTATCTTTTTTATTAAACGTCAAAATGACGATGACATTATAGTATAAAATACTATGGCGTGACGTCATACTTGGCTATTGTAAAATCATTTAATGGTGATTTGCAGATATCAAATCAATACAAAACACTAAATAGGCGATAATTCATATTGTACTATAAAATGTTACATTTAATGATGCAAGCGAAATAATTTATTTTAAACATTAGAGATCACCCTACTTAAGGTAGTTTGCGCTCATGGGAGGAACGATAAATTCAAGTAGATAATAACGTATTATTTGGGTGTTCAACTAAACCTACAGTCTACACTTAATTGGTCCTCAGTGAGCATGGTGCAACGTCTGTACTAGAGATGACACGAATAGTGATTTGGCCTAATAACGAATATTCGGCGGGTTTTTGGCCGAAGCACCGAATATTAGGCAACACTTTCGCGGGTTTAAACCTAAATCAGTAACATGGTCAGCAAACGCAAAACAATATCCTAACCTAAGAGAATTTGCTAAGATTTATTTATCTTCTCCTGGAGGCAGTGTATACAGTGAGCTGCTATTTTCCGAAGCAGATATTATTTATGAGTAAAAGCGCGATCGTTTCCTATCAACAAATTCTGAAAAATCTTTTAAGTATTAATATGAAAAGTTATTGGTAAAATAAATTCTTTGTAAGTAATATTATGCATTCTTTTTTTCATGATTAACTATTCGGTGTTTGGCCGAAAAGTTCAGTATATTCATTGCATCTCTAGTCTATACCTACCTGAATTTTACCCTAGTAGACGACGACGACCTGCTAACAGAGAAACCAGGATCAGAAACCTATGTTAACAAATGTTAGCCATCACAGTACGTGAAGTCAGTAAGTAAATAACTATTAAGTGAGTAAATCGGTATTTGTTGAAAGAAAACTATTTAATTTTATATTGTCTGCATAGGTACTTAGACGTAACTTATAAAGTATATAGACTCAAATCACTCGACATGCGCACAGCCTTTTGGGACACAAAGTTTGACAAACATGGAGACGACAAGGACCTCCATGCTTTTATCTGTAACAAAACTTATTATTCGTAGAAGAAAACCTTTTCGAGTCAGACGTCAAGGGTTTGCTCAGAAGATGGCTTTTTTGTTAGCGTCAAGGGGCAACTGTAGGAAAGGTATACCATTACTATTATTATATTATGTGGTAATGTGTTTGTCCGGCGTGGTGTGTCGGATTCGAACCGACTAAAACCACACGGTGTGCCACTCTGCGCCTGTAATAGGAGCCTCCTAATAACAGTAACCGGACCTCCTCCGGATCCCTCCTAGCGCCTGCGCGCAACGGCGCGGGCACCACCTTCGGGTACATTCTCTATTAGGCGACGTCCTGCACACGCGTTCGTCGCCTCCTGGCTGGCCGTCATGGCGGGTGGAGGGGAAAACCCGTCCCGTCCACCCGCGGCCACACTCAGGGCGGCATTAGGCTCTGGTAAGCGCGCCTGACGAATCGGGTCCGATTAGAGATCATCCTCCCGGTCCCGGGCCCTCTCGGCCGCCTTCTTCTGCGAGATGAAGGATCTTCACAGAAGGATGCGACCGCGGTAAAACAACTGTCACTACCGACCATGAAGCGTATGACGGCCCGGTAGCGAGACATCCTCTCCAATGACTGCAATGAGGACCCGACCCTGAGACACCCAAGCCGGGCAAATTGCCAGCGTGTACTGAACCGAGTGCTTACTGCAATCGCAGTGGGGACAGGCGGGACTTCATTCCCTCCCAGCGATCGAGTGCAGATACTTCCCGAAGCAGCCATGCCCGGAAGGGACCTCCGTCAGTCGGAAGGAAAGAGTCCCGTGTCCAATCGGCGATGACTGGCTGGAGCGCCTCCACGGCGGCAAAACCGGCACGTGGAGTCTACAGCCGGGATGACCAACAAGCCTTCATGGCTCAGCGAGCGGCCTCACGCCACTCGTATACGCGTACCTCTTTGGACGGGGGCCGACGTGTGCGTTACCCCAGCAAAATAATGTCGAAAATGGTCATTTAAACTTTATAGATAATTAGTTGCTCCCCTTCTGTAATTGTTAAGCACATTTTTAAATTTGTTTCACTTAAACTTTTTTAGTTATTTCAAAAAAACATTTCCTGCTGGGGTAACGTTTGAAACGTTACCGCAGCCAGACATTTTCTTTTTTAATTGTAATATTGAAATAAATTTTAGCTAAATAATTAGTTATCTGGACTAGGTAAATGTTACAACTTATTTGGTATTTGTATTTTCTTCGGCTGCGAAGTTATTCGAAATCCTGCTGGAGTAACGTTTGTGGGTTTGCTGGATCTCTGAAACGGGTAAGCGGATTGTTACCATCTTTTGTACATAACTTCTTAAGGATTAGTTTTAATTTGTTCGACAATAAAATAACAAAAATAATGGACCGTTGAAATATTATTTAGGTAAGTATGAAAACACTTCAATACGTCCTAACACTTTAAATAAGACCTCTAAAGACTTACTTGAAACGTTATTCTATTGCTTGTAACTACCTTCAAATGTATACGAATTTTCGTAGGAATACTGTAAGTGACTAAAAAGTTATGATGAAATGTAGCTCTCCACGTTCACGATCAAAATGTATGCGGCCTTTTTTGGCCACCGATAAACCTGTGTGTGGATATATAAACTAAATGTTATGCCATTAATTAGTTGTTTAGTTCAGTTGTCTACCTGTAGAATTTCAGCGTCGTACATATAATAATTTACGAAATAATTAAATAAAAGTCATTAGAAGGTGCAAGTCCGTGGTAATCCGACCATGTTTAGGTGGTTACAATAAAGCGATCACCCAGTACATTGCGCTGTCTTTTAAAATGTTTAGTGTAATACACCTTACGATTTCGGTACAGTTGCGTACAGTGTTGAATACATTCAATATTTATTCATTATTATTACCATTATTATTTATTTTGTTTTTTTCCCTAATTGATCTTACGCACTAGTTTCTTTACTTAAAATTTATTTAGTCTTTTTTACTACCGGAGCTACAATCAACAGAAAATCTGCACTGGTCCTCTAAAATTATAAATATGTAGATACATGTATGAACGATTCACCTGACTGCAATAAAACTAAAATTTAAACCAATAAGAAATCGTTTCATTTCTTTGATTTTTTTTTGTAAAGAAATAACACTAAAGTAATTGTATTTTATTTTGGGGTGTATAGAGCTTAGACTTGAATGCATCAAAATATTTAAAGCAACAAGTTATCTACAATAAGTTAAAATAGACCGAATAGTAGAAGAATACAGTTGTAAATTAGAATGCATCAACATTGCATCGCCCAACAGCCGTATACCTCGTAAGAATAGGTAATATTGTTCTGTGGTCTATACCTAGAACCGAGAATTATCTATACCTATGTACCTACCGTTAAGCGTTGAGCCAGTTACTGTTGATTTCTGTTAAAAACGAACAGTTGTTGAATGATATTTTGATATAATAACGGTAATTTAATTTATCGAGTGAAAGTGATACATTTTTATAGATAAAATTATTGGTCAGATAATATTTGTCAATCAAGAATCGCTGATAATACATCCTTCGCTAGAACGCGGGAGGGGAGGGGCGAAGGGATACTTCATTGTTTGCAATTGGCATCTAGTGCACTAAACTTGACCCTTAGGCAGATAATATACGTGTTGTAAAGTACGTGTGCGCTGCCGCTTTCTATTTTTGCAAATATTTATCGTATTCTTGAGAGTTCTTCAATATGTGTGTACCTAATTACTAATAATAGGCATTAATGCTAATTCGATTCAATTTAAGTAATTGTCAATTCTTGTCTTAGGATATTAATTACTAATGCTAATATTGAAATTTCGTTCAGGGTGAACAAATTAAAAACGATCATAGGTACGACCATCTTTTAGGTAGACAACGATCATCTTTTAGGTAGGTATATCACTTATTACTAATTTACTAAACTACTACTACTAAACTACTAAACATTATTACAGAAATAATGCAATACAGAGTTTGTTCGCGATATGCTAGCCTAAGTCGATTCATCACTTAAAAAAATCCCCATCTATTCACAAAATACCTATTTACAACGCATACGTTACACTCAAAACTTATCATTTCATTTCATATTTCTTAAATTACCTATACCTACCCTAAAATTAAACTTCAATTAACAAATACTACGCAGGTACCAATTCTATGAACAACTATAAACAATTCACCTAAACATTACGAGAAAACAAAAGCATTCAAAATAATACCTAATCTCCCGGCTGATTACTAATTATGCAATAAACAATCCTAAATAAAAAATATTTAAAAAACATGTAGTTTTTTGTAACACTTATGTACATATCCGTAGTAAACTTACAAATAATATCCTACATATTTTAAAAGCCAGCACAATGTACTGGGTGATCGCTTTTTTGTAATCACCTAAACATGGTCGGGTTACCACGGTCTTGCACCTTCTAATGACTTTTATTTAATTATCTCGTAAATTATTATATGTACTACGCTGAAATTTTACAGGTAGACAACTGAACTAAACAACTAATTATTGGCATAACATTCAGTTTATATATCCACACACAGGTTTATCGGTGGCCAAAAAAGGCCGCACACATTGTGATCGTGAACGTGGAGAGCTACATTTCATCATAACTTTTTAGTCACTTACAGTATTCTTACGAAAATTCGTATACATTTGAAGGTAGTTACAAGCAATAGAATAACGTTTCAAGTAAGTCTTAAGCCGTCTTATTATAAAAACTTTCATAAGTACCAGGTTTAAACCAGGACTAAAAGGTCTAAGCTTATTACGGTACTAACGTTAGTTCTTTCATTCTTATTACAAATCGTAGACCAACAAAGGACTACTTAGTACCAAAGATCGTCTCTGGACTAAACATTTTCCACAGATTATAAGCAACAAAATATTTAAATTATTCATTCATTCGTTCAGCGTTCTACGCGCCTTTCCTTTTTAACAAAATGTTGTTACGAAATATAAAGAAAAATATTTTATGAATTGTTATTTGTAGGGGTAAAATTTAAAGTTTTGTTATTTAAAGGTATTTAAATATTCCGACTTGTATTTTTTTGAATGCATGTTCACAATCCAATTATTAATGTTATGTTTTGGAACAACTACCGAGCTAGCACGTATGAGTATAACGGAGTGAACTGGACGGCGCGCGTAATTCGAGTAATGTAATCGAAATGTTTATGTTACAACTTAAACTAAAAAAATGTCCTCACTGTGGTTTCACTTCAAGATTATAGTTACTACAAGTACCTAAGGGCACAATTCTTTGGGCACAGTATTCTTTGTGGTGAGCAAATCGCCGGAAAAAATCGTTCTGTAGAAGAGATAAAGTTGGCTTGGAAGAGAATGAAGTTGGCAGCCAAGGCAAACTTGTCTCTTCACAGGAGAGAGCAGTCTAAAACAGGAGGTGGCAACAAGCCCCCGTCACCTTCTCCAGAGGACCTGGAAGTCATGGCTATTGCTCCTCATGACTTTGTTGTAGACGTGTGACTGTGACAGTGATGCAGTGGTAAGTAAAAGTTAACAATAGTGGAGAGTATAATATGATGACAATTTACTAAACATTTACCTGTTACAGATGACAAATATAACAACAACAAACAGTTGAAGACCCTGATGCTGGCCATAGCTCAATAGAACCAATTGTAGTGATTATAAGTGATGAAAATGTAGAGTCCAGTATTGAAGAAAAACAAGGTATAATAATTTCATAATAAGAAAAATACAGGTTAGTTTCATTAATATTATTTATTATTTTCAGTGATCTACACCAGTGAAACTGTGCAAACAAAAAGTAGTGTAGAAATAGAAGAAAATAAACCAAAAGGGAAAACCGCCTCCCTAAATAGGTTTGTTAAAATAAATGTGATAATACTGAATATATTTTATTTCAATCAAGGAACCACGAAAATATAAATAAAGCTTACCACACTAAAATAATAAGTCAAATTATTACATAATAATATAGAATTTATTTTACAGAAATGAAGAAGGGCGCCAAGCTATTATAAATAGTAATACAGAATTTAAAAAAAAACAGCTTGATATGTTGGAAGCCCAGCACTTCTATCAGGTTGAAATATCAAAATTAAAAAGCTACAGTTACAAATAGCACTATTGGAGACTCAGATAAAAACTAACACCATTACTAAGGAATAGATGCAACTGTCCCTTACCATGCCGTGGCAACTTGTAAGTAAGACAACACTCAGAAAATATTTGTAAAACATGTTTGTAAATTATGTATTAGTGTATGTTTTGTAAGTTGTCCTATATGAATAAATAAATAAGTTAAATAAGTATAAATTGTTCAGTCAAGAGTTTCAAATAAATAACTAATGTAATCTATCTCCTATTGATTAAATACTTCAAATATATTGACAATCACATAATAATATAACATAATTATTTTCAGGTTATATATTCCCCATAATAATCATTAGTATTATAGGACTGATTTTAGCATTTTCTTAAAGATAATTATAGTTACTTTTATTTATGTTTGATTTACTTTATGAAAAAAGGATCATTAACTTTTATTTTAGCATTTATATAATACATGTATTAAACATATACATACATGAATATCACAAAAAAGAAATATAGTTATATATAATATATAATAAATGTTATTTTATGACAAGTGAGTTTCAATAAACTGCCTTCTTCTAATATTCCCTCGTAGTGAATTTTGAACTGGCTGCACTGGTATTGAATCCCTAGAGGATTGCTCATTGTTGACATCATCAGGAAATAGGCATCTTAGTAGGCAGCGGAAACGTTGCTTCCACAGACCAAAGCATCTTTCCACAGTGTTCCGTGTATGGATATGGCTCCTGTTATACCTTTGTTCTGCTTCTGTTCTTGGGTTCAGCAGTGGGGTAAACAAGTATGGTGTACACGGATATCCACTGTCTCCTAAGAGGATGCCAGAAAACGCTCCAGATTCAAATCTTTGCTTCAAGCGACACTCCCTAAAGATTCTAGAATCATGGACACTGCCACGCCACCGAGCTACGATATCCGATATTCTAGTATATTCAACACATTCAAATCTTCCAAATCAAACATATCAATTGCATCAATATCCATTTTTTGGTTTCTGATCACAAATTCCTTTCCGAAAGCGAACCTCAAAATTAAGAATTTGACGTTTGACAATTTAGTACCATAGTTAAACTAGGGGTCACGATGGTCTAACTTTGATACCATAGATAGTTCTAGGACTAGCGATAAACTTCGTTTTGTAATAACGTTTATTCAAGGTCATGGTTTAAACCTAGTACTAAAGCCGGTACTTTTTTAAGTCCACGTTTTATAATAAGACGGAAGAGGTCTTATTTAAAGTGTTAGGACGTATTTAAGTGTTTTCATACTTACCTAAATAATTTTTAAACGGTCCATTATTTTTGTTATTTTATTGTCGAACAAATTAAAACTAATCCTTAAGAAGTTATGTACAAAAGATGGTTACAATCCGCTTACCCGTTTCAGAGATCCAGCAAACCCACAAACGTTACTCCAGCAGGATTTCGAATAACTTCGCAACCGAAGAAAATACAAATACCAAATAAGTTGTAACATTTACCTAGTCCAGATAACTAATTATTTAGCTAAAATTTATTTCAATATTACAATTAAAAAAGAAAATGTCTGGCTGCGGTAACGTTTCAAACGTTACTCCAGCAGGAAATGTTTTTTTTGAAATAACTAAAAAAGTTTAAGTGAAACAAATTTAAAAATGTGCTTAACAATTACAGAAGGGGAGCAACTAATTATCTATAAAGTTTAAATGACCATTTTCGACATTATTTTGCTGGGGTAACGCACACGGGGCCGACCGCCACAACCCGCCCAGAAATCAGCCGTCCGCCGATAAACTTCGCCCTATTCTGGGCGGTGAGAGCCGCCGCCCACACCGGTGCACCGTATAGTGTCATTGACCGGACAACCCCCGTGTACAGCCGTCTCGTTGCGACGCTGGGTAGGCCCAAATTGGGTAAAAGTCGCCCAAGGGCAGACGTAGCGCCGACCAAGCAAGGAAGCAGGCTTTGAGCAAGCTGTCGGAAGTGCTCGTCGAAGAGCCACCTCCCGTCGAGGATCAGACCCAGATACTTCATCTGAGCCTGAACCGGTACGAGGACCGAGTTGACCATGATTAAGGCGCCGGGGAGCCAATGGTACAAGACGTCCTCAGTCTTCTCTAGGGCCCCCTGTAAGCCAAGCGCCTCAATGCGCCCAACCACCAGAGAGACTCCCCTGGTGGCCAGATGTGCCGCTTCATCGCCATCTTCATCCAACTTCATCAAAGTTTCATCGGCGTTACAAATTACACCGCGGGCGGGGGGGTGGTAAATAGAAACTCTGCTTAGGTCAGGCTTAGATAGTGTTTGTTGTGTCTCAAGAAACTACCATGTATGATTTTGTTTTTTTTTTTTTTTAAAACTAGCTGTACTCTGCCATGCTTTCCTATGGCACATTGTGATTGCATTAATGAGAACTGAGGAACAAAATGAAGCGAAAAATAGACCCGTGCCATCGGTGCAGAACTTTTTGAGTGTTTGAAGATTACACAAACCAAAGTAAGATTTTTATAAATTTGGATTAATTTCATTACTATCGGTTGCCAATGGCTTTGTTCATAATACGAGTAAGTTCTTATTAATCAATCTTTCCCCCGAGGAAGTACTTTCGGAAAGAATGCAGGGTACCCTATGACCTTTCTGTGACTATGACAACGTGTATGCAAAAATTCATAATGATTGGTTGAGGAGATAACTCGTAACAGTGTAGCAAACTCACGATAAGATGTTAATACTTAGATGTATAGATTACAAATTTAAAAAAGAACATATAATAATAATTATGCTAATCTAACCATGTAGATCTTGCCTTGAAATTATATTAAAGTGAAATGTTATTTTGCAATTAACTGAATGTAGTTATCAGCTTAAGTTGAGGTCAGTTCAGGTCAGTCACTTAGTTTGTATTATACATATATGTATATACATAAAATCATAGTACAGTACAACATACAATCACATTTAAGCAAAGCCTTTATTTCCAATTAGCCATAATAATTATTATCGTCTATGCTAAAATGATCATCTTAAACATTAAATTACTGTTTAAAGCATGTAGTCTATCACTACGACCTCAATATATCGCAAATGCGTAGAAGAGTTGATAAAACATCTGAATCACATTTAGACATCGACCTGAATAGGAAAACTAGATTTTCTCTGCTTTTGTTTGCTTGATATAGTAGCAGGCGCAGACGCTAAGCAGATGGTTTGTTGTGTTTAATATTATACTGCGATAGAAGAATATTAGCAGCTAGCCGCAATATGAATATTTCTTTATGTTCAAGTAACATTCAAGTACTTTCCAATTCGTAAGGAAAGGCCTACTGGAGGCGCGAGGTATTGGTTTTGTAATGCTGGAGTCAAACCGACTAAACAAGATGTATCTAAGATATAGTTTGGTATCAGCTTCCAAACTGCCCATCGAAACAAAAAAGCTAAAAGTCCTTATTTTGCGTATTTTAAATCTAATAATACTCCGATTAGTCATTTGAGTTAATACGTGTGGCATACTGAGTCTCCTGACCTGGCCACTTACAATAAAAGAATAAGAAAACCAATTATGGAATTCGAAAATGGAACTCTTTGGGAACATGTTACTTTTTAATTTGTTTTTTCATTGTGACGTCCTATCGAAAAATTTGTGTCGCTATCAAAATGAATTTAACTCTTGAATATTTTCATTCAATGATTTTTGTTGTGGCTTAAGTCAACAATAGAGTAGCCAAAGTCTTGAATTGGCATTTGGTGATGAAGCACCATGTCGCAGTTCTGTGTATTCGTAGTTTGGAGAACTTATACGTGGACGTGATAATCTCCGTGACGAGGTACGTGAAGGTCGGCCGGCGACTGCTTTTACAGACTCGTAACATTGACACCGTACGACAACTTATTGAATCTGACAAAAAAATTACTTGCCAGCAAATTCGTGCTTTGTAAGGCATTGGAATGAGTCAAGTGCAAAACATTTTACATGTGCATCTGAAGGTTCGCAGCTTTGCACTCGATGGATACCTACCGCATGACCTAACGACTGACTTAAGAACTAGAAACGACTGCGAGTCCAGTGTTCCCGTAAAATGATAAAAAAGTTTAACGGAGGACAGTCACTGCCTCTCTATAATATCGTGAAAAGTGACGAAACTTGAGTGTGTTGCTTTGGACCCGAAATAAAAAGCCAGTCGGCGGAGTGCGTCTTTCCTTTGAAGATTTGCCGACGAAAGTTAAGAAAAGACGAAGCATTGGTAAAAAAGTTGCTTCTTTTTTCGGCAAATCAGGACATTACACTTGAATAGCAAAAGACAGTGACTGCAGATTGGTACGTCAACACTTGCTTGTCCAGATTCTTAGAAAAAGTTATTAAGTAGACGGGTCATCTGATGGCAAGTGACTACCGCCGCCCATGAACGCCTGCAACTCAGGAGTCACAAGTGCGCTGCCGGCCCTTGAGGTGGGAGTACGCTCTATATATATTTGTAATAATAGAGTTAAACATTTTTTTTACATAAAAGTTACAAGACATAGCTGGTGATAAAGTAATTAAACAGTAAAAGGGCTCTCGCCTCCAGGTCTCACGGTGGAGTTCCGGCCAGGAGACTAGACCGTGCGGTACCCCCTTATGACACTGATGGCCCGCACTCGCTGCGGTCGTCGCAGTAGTGCGACGTTGCTGGCCTTTAGGGGCCCCGCTCATACTGGGGCCCCATATAGGGCCATGGACTGCACAACCCCCGAGTAGAGTCTCCTGCAGGAGTCATCGGGTTCACCTCCAACAAACTTGGGGACCAGACCTGGGAAATGATGTCCGTAGTCCCATCGGGAATCGAGTACGAGTCCTAGATACCCATCGAGGGCCCGATGCCGATGCGAGTGCAAAGTCCTACTATGAGGCTGGATCCCTCAAGTGGCTTTCTCCGAGGACCATAAAAAAA